ATTATGATTCACAAAGTGAATGAATACTTGAAGCGAATAACTTACTTTTCAAGTAAATATATCATTTAGGCAAACTCTGGAAAACATTCGCTTTGCGAAACATAAGAACGTTATTAATCGATAAAAAAGAATTTCTAATTTCTTAGAAATTAATAAAATTATAAAATCGTTCCGTTGTAACAATCTCAAGAACCCCAAGTTGATCTTATCAACGACAAAGTTCTTCTAATTTCACTAAGAATATTTTGCATAAATTAACATGCATAAAAGCGTTAAAAGTTAAAAATGGAAAATCGACATATTGTGTAGTTTAGTGCTCTAATAAAGCCTTTGTTATGATATGACATAATAGCTGCTGGTCAAAAGTCAGTGGCTATTACGCAGCGAAATAAGTAGTTTACATATAATTTTTTCATCCATGAATACAAATTCTATCTCGAAAAATCTGGAATGTGGAAATCTTTTGGAAAAATCTTGCATGAATACAAATTCTACTTCGTTCAAAAAAGATTTGCAGATTCCAATAAATATGTAATTAGAGAGCATGTACTTCGTACAATTAATGAAGCTGCAAATTGAGAAACGATAGCAAGAGAATTTTGGCTGTATATTTTCGCGGCCAATTGAAGTCAAATCTGCAATACATTAATAAAAATTCTTTCAATGAGTAATTTTAACTGATCTAATACTGGTAATGATATTTACAAGCAAATTTTTCGTATTTGAGGTTCTGCTCATGAATGCACTTTTCAATTTGGGTGAATTTTTCTATTTCAATAAAAAATTGATTTGTACCTAATTTTTAGCAAATGTTCCTCCGAAATATTGACAAACAATAAGGCTTCTAAATTGATAATAATTGATAAAATCTTGGAAAATTAAAGGTTTGTTGGGGTCGATCTATTTTATTTTATAACGATTTGTTTATATGAAAAAAAATAATCCTGAATTTTTTTTTCAATATGATTTCATTGAATGTAACCAAAACATTAAATTTCAATAAATGTTTACTTGCTTCTCTTCACTCTATTCCACGCAATACTCAAACCTTAAACGAAAAATTTAGTTATTCATTTTACCACAAAATTTATTTCAAATAAAAAATCTAAGTACTCAAAAGTAATAAAATGAAGAAAAAATTTTGTATCTGACCTTCAGATTAACGAAGAATATGTCATTTGTTCACTTTATAGACAACATTATTTTAAATAGGGTTATAACTTCCATGCATATTTACATATACAAGACCATAATGTACATACACATAATATGTAATTTTATGATTATTCAAATATACGAAACTCATATAGAAAAAATAATCACAGAAATAAGGAGGAAACTCAGGCATCCATCATTGATCTTAACAAAACATGATTTGAAAAATTTTCAAAAAATTTATTTTGTCGAATCATCATTGACTGAATAATATGTGTATGTCTACATGTAAGTTCATAAGTATGAATATGAGGAAAATGTGAATGTACAATGATATGTGTAACTTATAAAGAAATGAGGAAATGTTTGTAATGGATTTAAGCGACTAAGGGAAAGTGAGAAAAAGAAAAATACAAATTAAAAACGACAATGGCATTGAGAAAATTCATATAAGTGAAGAGAGCTTGCTCAGCTATTTTTTTGGTATCTTCATCTAAATACAGAATTTATCATCATAACTTGTCTTTTTGGCTGTCAATACTTTTTACTATCTGTTTTAAATTTAAAAAAATGCAGGGTTTTCCAAAACTGAAATACAACATCTTGTATAATGTTGCATAATTGGCGTGATCATTGTATAAGGACATTACCTATGCAATACTTTTTTGTGTTCCGTTAGTGCATATATGACCGAAAACATTGTCTATACATTTAAAGATAATGTATATGTGAGCATTGTTGATCAAAACATTTATATTTAATACTTATATTCCTAACATTTGATTAGATTCTGCAATATCATTTCAGTAGGTATTTGGATAAGTGGCAGTTAAGAATATACATATTGAATCTTATGAAATTTGCGGACATCCTTCTCGCTGACAATTTATACATACCTATTATGTAAGTGAATTTGTTGAATTTAATAATATTATATATATATATATATATATATATATATATAATATGAGGGGCTCAGAAGCAGAGGGGCGTAAGCCACAATTTGGGTTATGCCACTTTGCTTTTGAAAAATCAGAAAATTTTTACAAAAGCAAAAGTACTTTTGTGAAAAATTAATAGGAAAAAAAATATTGCGGAACTGGAAACTAATATCACTGATTTTAGAAGATGTACATAACCGATTGCAACAAAAAATAAAAATTTTTCATTTGTGGCTTACGCCACTCTGCTTTTGAGGCCCTCATATAGACTATTATAAAATAAAATCTTACCAAACTGAGCAGCATGGGCTAATATTTAAAAACTTTTTTCTAAATCTATAGCGCTTATGCTGTTAAACCCTATACATTACCGTGTAACATGTACACATATACGACCTATTGCTTTTACTTTCTTATGCTTTTGTATAAGATTACAATCTTTTTCTATACAAAGAATTTAGAAATAGGCTTTCATGGTTTTTTTTCTTACATATTTTCAAAGTATTGTTTTTATCGTTATCTTAATGCAGAGAAAAATCAACTGAATCGTAAAAACAATTTTTACAGACGAAAAACTTTATTAAATTGGTTTTGAAAATGACAATTTTCAGTTCAAATGTTATACTTTTAATATTTTCACATTGTTTTTACATCTACACACCATATATTATTACAGTTCATTTTGTTGGTCTTTGTAGAGTTTTCGGAAGGCGAAAATGAAGGGCATAAATTAATGAAATTTTTGTTTTTTTTTTAAAAACTTGCACAATTTCATTTTATTTTATAAAACACATCGTTAAAGATTTCACTATACAATTATTTAATTCAGTAAAAGTCATAATTTGCGTTCCTACGCTACAAAGTTGTATATAAAAATTTACATTTTTATAAAAATATTAAAATTGCATTTCCCTTTTTAATAAAATTATGGTAAACAAAATGTCATTTTACCTGATTCCATAAGATATAATAATTCTAAGACTGAAAAAAAGAATTCAATTCATTTTTTGAGAGAATTTGAGGAAGAATCAACTGAAAAATTGCGGTATTCAAAGTTATTTCAAGTATTTCCTACCCTTACCGTTTGTAACGCTAAAAAATAACAATGTGAGATATAGACTAAAGTACATATTTTTGATCAGCGTCGAATTCTGAGTCATCTTAGCTTTTTCCGTCCATCCGTCCGTCCAAGTGATAACTCAAAAGCTAATTGCACAGTATTAAACTTTGCATAAATTAATGTGGTTAATACAGCAACTTAAAGTCATAGTCTGTCCCATAGTCTGCTATATATGGCATATTTACTCGCACATAGGATAGCAAATTCGTACGGGTGTCACATAGTTGACACGGTAAACTCTATTTTTTCTCGTTTCAATTGAGTCTTTTCGCATATTTGCAGTTGTTTGAAAAAAAATCTTCTTTTTCAAAAAAACATAATGAAAACATAATCTTCTCAACTCCCTATATGCCATAATATCCTAGAAATTTTTTATGAAATTTGAATTCTAAAACGGTTACCTCGCACTTTTCTTTTAACATAATGTAAAATGTGAGGATTTCAAAATACTAAGGTTGTAATGATATTTGCTCCTTTTCTTCTTACTCAGTAAGTTTAAAAATTAAGGATAAAATTCATTCTATATTTAGCCTTAATTTTTAAGCTCGAACAAACTTTAGGAGGAAGATTGATTTCCTGTTCATTCAAATCATGTAAGTTTTGCTGAAAATACTTAAATATTTGCATTTTTTGATTAAATAATTTTAGTTAGCATGACAGTCTTAATTGTAATCTGTGAAAGGATCGAACCTATTTCAATAGGTTCTGAAAATGAAATTATTTTCAGTAATTTCAAATGAGCTCACTTGTAATAGTGTTTTAATCAATTAATCTTCATTGCTGGTTAAAAATATTCATAATTTGTCATTTTTATGAAATATAATTAAAAAAGTATGAAATTTTTTTACACATGCAACTTTTATACTATAAAAGGATCAGTACGAAGAGATTGTACGAAATTAGCAAAGGGATATGCATGCAAAACTCATTATTGTTAAAGGAAAAATATAATTTTCATTTTCATGAGCAATACCTTTTGATTTCATATTACGTATATATATACATATATATATATACACAAATTTATGTCTATAGGTACATAGCACGATAAAAATGGTTATTCTTACAATTTATAATTTTTACAGCTAGGATTAAGTTCCAAGATATTATATGTCTATATAGTATAATACACATTATGTGAATATGTATGTGAAAATATAAATTAGATATTCATAAATAAATAAAGTATTGTATAGGTACACAGGTACACCTATATTATATAAGATGTGTATGCAAATATTTACATGGTAATTTTATTACTTTCTTGTCGCATTGCAGCTTCATAATAATTCTCTATATTTCAAAACATTCTTTTAACAATGTTTTCCTAATAATAACAATCTTTATTTATATACATACACCTATATGGCATCTTAATATATACCTGTATACATATTATATTTTATACAAACCTACAATACCATGTATTAAAACAAAATTGCAATTTTCATTGTAACTCTTCAGATTACATAAAAATATGCAGATAGAAAAAAAAAAAATTGTTTATTAAAAAAAATTCTAAAGGTAAATAATTTTAAATTCATTTTGATAAAATATTTTCACATAAAATTTGAGATAAAATAATTTTAATCTTTATAATTTATTTAATTCATATTGAATATTTTCTAATTGAATTTCAAAATTAAAATATAAATTTGATTTTACTAAAATGTTGCAAAAAATATTATATTAATTTTGGATTTGTTTTTATGTTTTTCTCTTATTTTCTCAATAAAATTATTAAATTTAAACATAAAATTTAATAAACCTGTTTAGATTCAGATTTAAATTGAAAAACTGGAATGCAAATGAAAAATTTAATGATTTAAATTATATTTTATTAAATTTGTATAATCAATAGTCATTCAATCGATACGTAAAAGTTATTGGACTTCAAAAATTCTTGAGTTAATAAAAATTTGTTTTCTCAGGCTTTTGTTTGACTTTTGAATGGCCTCAATAACTCATAACAGGTAGTAAAGTAAGAGACTTTAGAAAGCTGTATAAAATTTTATCCCTGAGTTAGCTATTTTTCTCCACAAGTATGTATTTGTATCCGTTGTATACTAAGCTGTATGTGTGGCTTAGTATATAACAGAATTGAATTTAATCTAGTGAAAAAGGACGAATCATTTAACAGTAAAATATGAATAAATCACACAGTTTACACAATTGTTGTTTACTTGTTTGGATCATTAGATTATTAAATTAACAATAAAAATATACATGACTATTTTATAGCTACAAGCTTACAATATGTAAGAATTTCTAATAATACAGTAGCATATTCCAAATATTAATATAAAATCATAATTTTATATATCATATTATCCGCTATTTAACTAAATCTATTGAATTAATGACAATTGTTAGGTAAAACGTAATATTTTACTTTGTGGCTGTGGTGATACATTTTCATACCAACCCATATCAGCTTCGAAGAAAATATTATTAATTGCATGTTCTACAATAGCTTTTGTTTTCGAACTGTAACCTTGTATTTTATAGTTAACGTATTGCCCAAAAATGTTTTGATTTAGTGTTGGGGTTTTATGTGCTTCAAATATTTCACACTGACTTCCTTTGTTATTTTTATTTGAATCAACTCGTACTTTTTTTTGCGGTATTATATTAGCGTTATTGTCATTAGTATTCCGTTTCCGAAAACTTGAAGATTCATCATCTGAAAGATTTTTTTTTAAACCCAAGTATCCATTTGGTTGATCACAATGGAACGTATATTTATTGAAACTCAAATTTGATTTTACATTTGTATTAGTTTCCTCAGTTTTTTGTAAACTATTTTGAACAGAAGTAAATTCGGAATGTTGGGCTACGTTGTAACGTGAATTTAAAGAACTATTTCTGTTCTTAAAATCACATTTTTCACTTTGGGGACTTTGTATTGGATTATCGTTATATTCTACATCAGAATCAACTTCATATTTAATTTCATACGTATCAAAAGTTCCTTCCTAAAAATATATAAAAATATTTCTTAAATTAGAGCTCGAAAAAAATATCTTTTAGTTATACTTCATATTCATCTTTTCCATAATTTTATGGTACTGAACACAGGATATTATTACGAATTTTATAGTCTTAAATTCAATTCAGGATATTTATTTTAAACTTAAATAACGTAAATAATAAATGAAACATTACTCACATCACATTCACTATCGCCAAAATTTCGTGGGTTTTCTGTTTGCCCTAACAAAAACAACATTCGTTCAAAAGCAAACCATTTGGAAACGTAAACTTCTTTTGCATCTAAAAGTAAAAATTAAAATATCATCATAGGTTGGAATAAAGTCACAAATCCAGAACATACATACAAGAATTGATAATTAATTGTGTTCAGAATTCTGAAATAATTATGTAGAAATCTAGAATTTAAGTACAATTATTAATACGTCATATGTATAATATATGTATATATGTATGTATGTATGCATATATGCATGTATAGATAGCTTTTATATAGGTTTTGATTAATCAGAAAGCATTTCTTGAGAACTTTAACTGCATTAATATTAAAGTAACTAAAATATTCTCTTTAAAAAGTAGAACACTCAAGTTACAGAGATTTCAAATAGAGCAAGTAATATCTGTTCTATATACAAAGTAATGTGGTACTAAAAATCAATTCAGCTATTAAAACTAATAAGATGAATGCTTTTTTTAATGTAGGAGCCGTAAAGCAAATAATATACGAATTCACATTTCATAGAAGTACATATGTAAGTAAACATTATGTATGTATAAACAATGAACATTCAAGATAATATTCAACAAATCTTAATTTTTAAAATATTTTTTAAGAAAAAATTATCCCATTCGAATATAACAGATATACGTTCAAGTTTGTTTTGAAATACGTTCAACATACATACTTTGTGTTTTTATGTTATTTGCTAAAGCACCAAAAGCAGTGACACTGGGAGAAAATAAGAGAATGAAAACCATTACGCTCGTATTGTTAAAAATGAAAACATTTAAATTATTCAAGCAACAACTAAACAAAATAAACATACAGTGTTTATATAAGAGCGAGAAAAGAAATAACTGCTAAATAAACAAAAAGAAAAAAAAATAATAAAACTGAATAATGAGAGAGAGTGAAGAGAAAACTTAAAAAAATTAAATAAATGTACATGTGCAAAATATGTACATACATATGTATATATTTATGGCAAAAATATAATGTGTGTGCGATATGGTATCAGGTATGTAATTTGAATCATCTCAAAACAATTATTATTAGCTATAAAAACATACATATATACATATTAATTACATGTATGTATTATACATTGTATAATAATATAAAAATTATAATTTTGTTCAGAAGCAGATATACCTACTTCAAATTCTAAAAATAAGAGAAGATACCTAAAAACTAGTATGTATGTATGTACTTAAGTCGGTATGACTTATGTAATTATAAAAAAAACTAATTTTATGCCGTCATCTACATATACATATGTATAAAAATATTGAGTTTCGAATTTTTTTGATAAAAAATTAAGGAAAATTCGAAAGTATTTTGACATTTGGTATTATACAAAAGCTTCGTTCGTTCTTTATGTAAAGTCATGGTTAAATTTTTACTATAAACTATTTCTGCTTTATTTATATAATTACATACATATACATATGCATGTTGTACCAACTTATATATGTATGCATATACGAATGTAAATATATTATTAACTTTTTACTTACTTGAACCTTCTCCTATGATTTCTTTGCCTTTAGCCTTTTGAGCTCTAAATGAACCCATTAAACTGCATATTTTTCTTTTTATATTTGCAACATCGGTGTCAAAGTAGTCAGCCACTTTTTGCCAATTTTCGGTTCTTATGGTTTTCGAGTAATAATTTGGGTGCTTAGTGTCCCATAATACTGGATATTTTTCATATTTGTCTAATAATTCTAAACATTTTTCATTACTCCACGTTTCTTCTATAATTATTGCCATTTTAAAATAAGTTTTGTTTCTGGGTGAAATATGGAGTTTAAGCTCGCTCCATTTAGCTATATGATGTAAGTATTAACTTAAAAATTAAATTGCTGAATTAACAATGCGCAAACGATTTAAACTATACAAAAGCCTTCTTTATGTGGCAATATTAAAATACTAACTGAAGTAATGAGAATAAAAATACTATGCTTGAGATTTTCATACATATATGACGCATAAAATTTAACAATACAATGATATAAACGAATATGCGGCATGCGATAGCAATATATTGTTTAAAAATTGACTAAATTATTTTTGTAGATATATGTAAGTATATAGAAATACATACATAATTGTGTATGAATATATAATATCAACACATGCATACACAAAACCAAGCACATGTAAGTATGTTTTTTTACCTAAAAAGTGTAGTTCTCTTCTAGTATACAAAATACACAAAAAATTTACGACATATGTTTACCGTACAAAACATAATAGCATAATATGAAACATACACATATTTTCGTTCGTTAATATGTTGAATCTCAATAAATATGCTTGCTTATACTTCGACAAACGATATTCTTTATTACTTATTTACTTCACTAAAAAATATATGAATTAATTTTACAGATTATGCGATTCTCTAAATTAAATATATATATGTACATATTTACCTTTTGCGATATACATACGTGTATGAGCATAATTACTTAAGTAGATGCACACATATACATGATGGCTATTATATCGTCTGATATCTAATCTGTACTCATGCACACATATAAATTTGCTTCGAATGATTAAATACAAAACTCGCTTTATAAAGTAAAATGCAAATGCCCCAGCTATTGCTGTTGAAATTTTTATACTTTTTGTTTTAATTTATTTTAAAATTGTTAAACTTGCTTTGTTTGTTTAAGTGCTAAACCTAAACGGTCGGGGAATGAAGTAGTCAGTAGTGTTTAAAAGTACATCGTAGCATAACACATGTATTCGAATTTTCTATTCTAAGCATGTAATGTTCAAATTATATTTTTATAGCAACAAATGTATAAAGGATCGCGATACAATTTCGGTATGTTGTAATTATGATTGCTGCATACCGCATCTATTTAAGTCTAGCAGTTATAAATATTTCTGTTCGATGTATTAATGTAATTCTTCCATTTTCCAACTATTTTATTTGTTACTGTCTCAATTTTTTCTACACAGCCATACCTACGTACATATGTATGTACATATTTATGTATACAATTCGATTGCAAGTGGTTTTGATTAGCAGAGCCATGACTGCCTTGCAAAAAGTTTTTGACATACAATAAAATAAAATTTTAAATTTTTATTCAGATTTAACACTAAATAGTATTATGGGGATTTTTTTTAAGAGAAATTTATCAACGCTGTGAATTCAACCGCATCAAATTTATTTTTTATCAAGTTATTTTTTTAAATAACAAGGTTGCCGTTATAATGTAATGCATTGCATATTGTGAAATTTTTATAAAAATAGAAAGAAAGAGCATTTGTGAAGTAAGCATTTCAGTAACGTCATTGAGTAAATTATTTAATATTTACATATATCGGAATATACTTAAAGGTATTACTGACACAATATATCAAGTTTGAATGCATATCTGGCACTTTTACAACATTTATAGAATTTTTCAAATTTTGTAAAAGTGCAAAATAAATTTAGTAATATTTTAATAAATTTAAAATGTAGTCCATGGCTAATTCCGGAATTACATTTAAGAGAAATTTTTATATTTTTAATTTTTATAACGGCAGAGGCTAAAAAATTCTCTTTATGGTTGTATATTTTTGTGTAGGTAATGTAGCTATAATAATGTACTACTTAAAGATAAATCAACAAAATAAAAATGCAAAAATGAATACAGCGAAAGAGAAGAAGAAAGAATTACCAAAAAATGAGTATTTAAAATTTAAAGAAGGTTTTATTTGTAAAATTTTTGTATTTTCGTGCACAAACCTGTCGCGTATAGTTTGGAATGTGTTATAATTATTATAACAAATAATTTCTCTTTGATTTTCTGTTAATCAAATATTCTGTATACCTGTAACCTGCATACCAACAGACAAAACAGAAAACATTAGCTTATATTTATGTATGTTGTACTGAGTTGATGGAATATTATAAATAGATTAACAACTCTAGCTTTAATTTAGTTCTATTACTGATAATACGTGGAGATCATATGATGTAGTTTTTAAGTAAATTTATTAGTGATATAAAGATAAAGACCATATGTTAATATGTGCATATGTACATATGAACCCAATTTTTTTACAAAATTTTGTTTACAAAATCGTCCAAATTCATATGAATTTAGGTACATATGTATATGTAAACTGTATAATACATACGTTCAATACTGAAGATGTTCAGGTGAATACATATGTATACATAACCCGCTTACGTTTAAATATGTGTATGCACCTGCATTATAACTAATTTTCTCTTAAAAGTTTACTAAATTCTTTACATATGTATATATGCAAACAAACATGTTTGGAACTTTAAAATTTAATTTATGACGACACATCAGAAATTAATTTTTGACGGCAAATCAGAAAATTACATTCATATGTACCTAGTATATATAATTTTTTGAAAACAAAAATAATAGGGTCGCCTTGCTTTTGCAAAATCAGAGAATCAGTTAAGATAAGATAGGATTTTTATATTCTCTCTAATTTCAAGTTTAATTTTTACAAAAATTTTTTATGACCAAGGAAACTAACATAAAAGACCAGACCTACTAATTGAAAAAATCAAAATAAAAGTGTAAAATAAATATTGTGTTTTTATGGTATTGCGGCATAATAAAATTAAATGCCGGATGCTTAAACGGAGAGACAAAACGTTTCAAAATACTTTATCGAATATGTAAATGTGTAATCGCTTTAGTTATTTGTAGCAAAATTACCCATATTATATAAATAACAAAAACGGCAAAAGATTTCATACTGTACGAATGGCATTTAATGTGTAAAGGTATTGTAAATAATAAAAATATGTAGTAGAAATATTGCAAACTCATAAATTGTAAGTGTTTTGAAATAATTTTCTTATTACCATATAGTTTTGCATAAATTTAGGAGAAACTTGGAGAAATAATTTCTGGAGAATTTATGAATACATAATACTCTTTAATATTAAAATGTATTGTTAATTAATTTGGATAGGGTAAACAAGTTTACTTTTGGGTAAGAAGAAAATTAGGCTATCAATTTTGTTTTCATAGATGGAATTTATATGTAGCGTAGATGAAACATGGAACCGAAAAATAACTTTTGGAAATTTCGATTAGTTTGCAAAATTACTTCTAGTAAATCTTAGTGGAGAGGAGACAAAAGAAAATTTTGTTTTAGTAAAAAATACAGCTACTCCGAATGCAACATTCAATTTTTCAGAGTGATCAAGGTGTACAGAATTTAAAAAATAGTTTGGGTCTAAACACAATAGTTGCTTAAAAGCTTGTCTTTTTAAATTTTGTTTAATTGAAATAATGTCTCTGCTAGAATTGTTTTGTGTATAAAATTTTATTTTTCTCTTTTAGTTTTGAAAATCTGCCAAAAATTAGCGCTTGCAAGGTGAAATTGCGACAACCCTGGTGTACTTAACCCTCTTTTTGATAAAGAAAGTTATTTTTATAGAAATTTTTTATTGAATAATATTAAGTTATAATTTTGTTACCCATTATATTATAATTCATTATCTTAAATATTCAAAGTTAAACTTTATATAACAAAAATTTAAAACAAAAATTATATTTATTATAAAAAGTAATTAAAAGTGAATAGCATATTTATAGTAACCCTGAAGTAAAGTTTCCCTTATGATTTTCGTTAAGAGTTTTCATATCGTCCTAGATCGGCTTCAAATAAAACATTATTGATAGCGTGTTCTGCAACCGCTCTTGTTTTGGCGCTATAACCTTGTAATTTACTTGCTATATATTGACTAAAAATTTGAATGCTATTCATTTTCACTCCGATTGTTTCGGAAGATATACAGTTGTTTACATTTTTTTGTTGCGCACTGTCTAATCGTACTATTTTGTTGTGCTGATCATTACATGATACTTCGGGGGCTTTCCTTTTATATAAGTTTTCTTCTCTAACTGTTATACTATTTTGTTTATCTTGAAGTTTTGATTTAATTGAATTTTGATTCTTTAAATCAACAAAAGGAATTTCTACGTTTGTGCACCGTTTCGGTTCTGTAGAAAGAGATTTATTGAAATCTATTTCAGAAGATGTTGGTTCGACTGGTTCTTTGTTGATAAAATTTGGTGAAGTTGTTGTTCTAGCGTCACTAATAATCATATTTTGAACTGGTTCACTTTCATAAAATTCAACATCCGAGTCACTTTCTTCCTTTATCTCAAATGTTTCGTACATTACCTATATAAAATTATTAACACATACGTATAAAAAAAATTACATTTTTCATAATTTAAATTTAAAAATTTAAAAACTCTACTTTAAGACCTTTATTACGTCGTATCTAACTTTCAATTGAAACCAAAAAAAAATACAGAGTAGACATACAAATGTTTGAAGAAGTGTCATTCTTGATGAAATATCAAAACTTTTAGGAAGACCAGTGTAAACAATAAATGTCACATGTGCTTTAAATTGTTATAGAATGCAACTAATTTAATTTATTATAGTTTGTTTTTAAACCAGTTGTACTAACATAAATATGTACAAATGGGAATCACATGGAAAAAAAGCTTTATCGTTAAAACAAAGCACAAGCAAAATTTTGTATTTATGTTCTTGCAAAGACTGGCATTCTGCGCTTACAGAAGTCAAATGCGACTACTTTACTCAATCATTATTCATACCAAATACAAGGGGGAAAATCGGATATTAAAGTTTAAAGAGTATCGAGATTGATAATATTTCAAAATTAAGTATAAAAAGTAAACATTACAAGCGAAAACATTATTGAAAAAAATTTTATTTTGAGTTTTGGTTCTCATACGGACGAATTTATTTTTTAAATAGAAAATAACTTTTTTAAAAGTAATGCCTTATTCCTCAAGTGATTTAAGATACCATTATTGCACACATCTTAATGTAAGGTAAAATTCGAATTAATTACTGAAAAATATTTATTATTGTCTTTGCTTAAATCATTTAAAATTTAAAATTGAAAGTTTGCAAAACTTGAAGGTATGCAATAGGTTCAATGATTAATATGCTATACGAATTTTCTTAGAAATAATTTGTTCAGCGATAATGGTAGCTTGTCGCGGTTTGAAAATCGTAATTGTTTTTTAATTAGACTTGTATTATTTACGGCTCCTTAAAATTTATTAATTTAGTTAAATTTATAATTTTACTTACATCACAAGAGTCGTTTTCGTGTTGAGACTCCTTTTGATCAAGTAAAAACGCCATTCTTTCAAAAGCAAACCATTTTGAAACATAGATTTCCTTCTTGTCTGAAATTTTTGTAAAATTTAAAAAGAAAAAAAAATTTTGTTGACCTTATTTCCAATAATTTTTTTTAAAGATTTTTTTCAATATGTAGATTTTTTTAAATATTACAACGTTCTTATAGAACAAGTAACGAATTGGTTATTTTACTATATGGTTATCATATTTTTCTATAAAAATATTGTATCGTGTAAAACAAGAAGATTTGACAGTCTACATTAAAGTGTGGTTTTTGCGACGTAACAGTATTAAATGCCCATATTTTAAAAATAAATCAAATAACTATTTTTTGAATGCAGCCATTGATGCAAGGTGGAAGGTTATTATGGGAAATGAGCGCAAATTCAGATATCAAGAGTTTAGAACTCATGCCATTCGACGGTGAAACTGCATTGATCGTAAATAAAGAAAATTGCAGTATATTTTCATTAGATCAAGTGGTACAAAGTGTTACAAAATTGTACTCATAATTTATAATACTTTTTCAAAAAGCAAAAACAGTGTTGTTTCGTCTATTTACCATATTATGCGACCATTTAATTTCTATAACTGTGTAGAATATGTTTATTATTATAACATTTAACTAATTTGACATTAGTCAAAATTCTTTGATTTTGGATTGTGTTACTACAAAAAAATAAATGTATTTATTTTCTTCACACACATTTCAAGGGGATTTTCGTCTCATATGTATATACAAACGTGTGTACCTGTGTATTTTTTTGGAGGATAAAATGGAATATTTTCATCAAATATGGTAATTTTAGTTTTTTGACTTTGCCTCTATGACTGCAGTAACAAGAGAACGGTGCAACATCGAACAGCTCTAACGTCACATAGACAAATTCAGCAATTGAAATTGTATTGCTGAATAATTGTCGATGCCATATTACGTATAGCATTATATTGTGTTGTATAAATTTTTGCTTTTAAAAACATACGTGCATGGTGCTGATATGAATACATACATATGTACTTACGTATCTATACTACGCATGCTTCAATAACAAAACTCTTGTTAAGATATTTTATACAATAAATATGTTAGTTCTTCATTTTTAAGTACTAATATAAACAACGCGTAAGTTTTGAAAAAAAAAGGAGTCAATATTTTTATACTCACTTGGACCTTCACCAACAATTTCTTTTCCTTTAGATTTTTGTATTCGGAAAGAACCCAATAAACTGAACATTTTTCTTTTTATACTGGTAATATCAGTGCCAAAATGTGACGCAACTTTTTGCCAACTTTCGTTTCTATTTTTCTTATGATAGTACAGTGGGTGTTTTGAATCCCACAACTCTGTATGCTTTTCATATAAATCAATTAATTCTAAGCATTTTTCATTGCTCCATGGATCCTCCATTCTTTCTTTAATTTTTGCGTCTTTTTATTTTATTAAGTTAAAAAGAAAAAAAAAATGAAAAAACTAATGTTTTCTTCCTTATGGCGCAAAGCAAAATTGTCGACTGAACTAAAAAATCATGTGAGAGCAAAATATATTTCTCTTAGTACATTATGACATTATGTACTAACACAATAATATTTTCTCTTATTAAACCTTTAAAATTTATTATAGTAAATGCCTAACCCGGATGCTGAGATAAAGAGAGAATCCAAAACCTACTACGATATTACATTAATCTGCTTTTATATTAAATGCAGAATATGGATAAATTTAAATTAGAATAAGGTTTACGAAACCGGTTTTATTGTTAATTAAGTTATGTAATAAGATTTTCTACAATATTTTGCATAAGACAAAAATATTTGAAAACTTTTTAGATACATCGTATGTGTTGTGTATATGCCTTTATTCATTTTTTTTTATAAAAGAGGAAAATTAGACACAAAAGCAATGTGTACATAATATTATGTGTGTACCCACCTAACCTACATACTTTGGTGAAAAATGAGAGCACAAGAGAAAATGTCACATGCATTTTGAAATGTTGCTTTTCAAACACATTTATGCATGTACATGTGTGTGTGTTAGCACGGATGCTATAAAGTTTTTTGCGTAAATATACTTTTTCGCAGTCACGCTAAAATTAGCTAAATTCATATGTATAGTTATACATCCATATTTACTTACTCGTATGTTGTATTTTTCTTACGTTCTCATAAACAATTTTAGCCGTTCAAATGTGCTGTAGGTATGGTAGGTCTTCAATATTTTAATATGATCAAGGTGATTACAGTATTATTTAAAATATTTAACGAAATAATTATAGCACGGCATGTGTGAACAAATACATTTGTATAGACTGTTAAACGAATTTAAATAAATAAAATAAAATTATAAAAAACAAATATTCAGATTTTTTTCAGAAAATAAAATTTCAGAATTTTTTTTTTGAAAATAAAAAAACATGCGTTACGTGGAGAAAGTATAATTTAAACTATTTAAACTATATAATTTTTATATTTTATTTACTAATATTTTTTACAACCCTTTATTTTAAAAAGCATTGGTTTTTTTTAGTAGCTTTATTTTGAATTTTTTCCATTTACATTAAGCTTTATCGGGCTATTGCCCAACAAAAGCAAGAGCACAAACATAAAAAACAAGAGAAAAGCTATTGTATGTTGTGTGATAACGTCTGTTTTTTTGATTGCGAGAGTTAGAATGAAAAAGAGAGGCAAAAATAATACATAATAACAATTTCGTAGATATTCTCTTTTCAATTTGTACAATAAGATACGAATACATACACAACACAACATAAACATAAATTTTATTTCTGCATTACAATAAGTAGTATAACACTGTAGTATCGCTTAATTTTAAATATTCTAACTGTTATACGTTATATCAATTCATATAAAAGTGAATAACTGAGAAAAAATAAACGTAAATAATTATTTTAGGTAGATGTGGACTGTAGAAAAACTATGTTTACATTTGTTTTTAGACACATGCATACTTACGTATAATATAATTTAATGATTTACTTGTACATTGTATATGTAAACAAATTAAATGTAATTAAAAGTTGGGTTATGTGATATAATAAGTATAATTCCGATTTAATTTACAATATTTTTTCACGTAATTGATATAACCGGGTATAAGTAAAAAATGTAATACATTTTATGTTTTTTCAAATGTTTTTTGATTTTGGTTCTTTTTCCACAAGATATTTTCTTTTGATCTTTAAGAAAATATATTAGTTCAATATAAAAGAGTAAAGCTCAACAAAATAATACACAAATCACTTTTAATTTAATTTTTTTTAAGGAGTTTATGAAAAAAATAAAACCTCATTCAAATTAATAAGAATTCAAGGCTTAGTCTAGGTTGTAAAATTTGGACTTTTTACATAAGATTTTATTTTGATATCTTAATCTTATGGCCTTTCCGTCCGATGGATGAAATGACAGGTTGGTTGGTTGGTTGGTTAGAGTGGCCGGTGCGACCCGACTGGCCAACACCCCAATTAGCACTGACGTGCCGTTTTGCTACCACCGCCTCGTGAAACCCGGTTGTCAAAGTACGTTGGTCCAGGGCTAGCGATCAGAGCCACCCCGTTCTTTTAAGGAACTTATTTACGTCCCCGATACTTTTACTAGAAATGCTCCCCAGTTCCATTATGTCCGTTTCCCCAAATGACAACAACCTGGCCTTTTTTGTCTATCTCCCGACAACTGCGGCATGACGTATTAAAGGGAATTCCCAGCCTAGCTGCATGATCCCCCACAGGCCAATGCCCCGTGTACACAGCCACTAACTTAGCTATGTCCGGTCGAGGCATCGCCAGGAGGCTCATTGATTTCTTATGGTCGTATTTCGGCCACGTCTTCCTAGCCGTTGCACACGTGCTCAGGCCCCTCCACCTGCGGTCCGCACATGCCACTTGGAAGCGGTATATATCAGTTTTGATGGTGTTTATAGGGACAAGAACTCGCTCGGCCCTGGAGCCGTCCAATGCCGACCCACATCTGGCCAGCTCGTCAGCCCGCTCGTTTCCTGGTATGTTCCTATGTCCCGGAACCCAGAGTAAGGTGATACTATGATGACTGCACAATCTCGTCAGCTCATCGAACTACCAACTTTGAGAATATCTTTGGCGAATTTAGAGCCAGAATCGCAGCCTGACTATCCGTCACAATTGCGACCTCCCGGGCCACAACCAAATCCCTTCCCAGGATTTCGCATGCCTTCCATATGGCGAATACTTCCGCCTGGAACACGCTTGATCCGTTGGAAAGGCGATATGACTCCGATATGTTCTGAGTCTCTGAAAATACTCCAGCACCGACCCCATTCCTATCCTTGGAACCGTCAGTGAAGAGAGCAACATCAAAGCCTTGCAGTGGAAGATTTCTTTTCCACTGCCCGCGAGACGGAAGCTCAACCCGAAACTTCTTGTCAAGCTCAAGTCTAGGGATGCAATAGTCTGTAGCATCCGCAACCACTCCGTCCGGTAGTGACTGAAGGACATTGCCGTGGCCATACGGCCTTTCGTGCCAGCACTCAGCTTCTCTGAGTCTAATGGCGCCTGCCGCGGCTAGATTCTTAATATGGATGTCTGGTGGAAGCAAATGGAGGAGTACATCCATAGCGTCCGTGGGCGTCGATCTCAATGCCCCCGTAATGCTTATGCATGCAGCCCTCTGTACCCTACCGATCTTGGTACAGTTGTAAGCTTTCCCCAACGCCGGCCACCACACGAGTGAACCGTAAGTTAATATAGGTCGTACAATGGCCGTGTATAACCATAAAACCATTCTAGGTTTCAGCCCCCACCTCCTGCCGACCATCTTTTTGCAGGTGTAAAGTGCCGTACAGGCCCTGTTCACCCTCTCTTGCACGTTAAGCTTCCAGTTAAGTTTAGAGTCGAGTATGACTCCCAAATACTTAACTGCCGGACTCAAACTGAGCCGCAAACCACCCAATCGGGGCAGTCCAAAGCTCGGGATTTTTGTCTTAGTCGTAAAAAGTACAAGTTCCGTCTTGGCTGGGTTCACTCCAAGGCCACATCTTTTAGCCCAAGAGCTCACCACATTTAGAGATCCTTCCAAAACCCCACTGATTGTTGGAAGGTCAAAGCCGGAAACCAGGATTACTAGGTCGTCAGCGTATGCCACTGCCTTCACTCGCCTTTCTTCAAGTTGCAGTAGAACCTCGTTCATAACAACAAGCCACAAAAGTGGCGAAATCACCCCACCTTGGGGCGTTCCCCTACTAATGTACCTTGCGACACTACTATCACCAAGATCCGAATACAGGATCCTGGTCCGCAGCATGGATAATATCCAGCGTACCAAAGCATCTTCCAACCCCAACTGAGTCAGAGAATTTTCTATGGCCCACGAACCAATATTGTTGAAAGCCCCTTCCACGTCTAGAAAGGCCGCCAACGTGTATTGCTTATAATGGATAGATTGTTCGATAGTCCTCACTACCTCGTGTAGTGCGGTGTCTGTGGACCTTCCCCCGCAATATGCATGCTGGGAAGGCGAAAGTCGAACTTCCTTCATTCTGTTCCTGAGCCCTAGCTCCAGAACGCGCTCCAGCGCTTTTAGAACGAAGGAAGTCAAACTAATTGGTCGAAAATCTTTGGCGCCCTCATGGCCCCTTCTTCCCGGTTTGGGAATGAAAACAACTTTTACACGTCTCCACGACTTGGGCACGTATCCAAGGATAAGACAACTTCTAAAAACTTTTAGAAGCCACGGAACTATTAGTTCCTTCGTCTTCTGTAACATAGCTGGAAATATCTCATCTATCCCCGCCGTTTTGTATGGAGAGAAGTTATCTATCGCCCAGCTAACCTTCTCCACCGTTATAATAGCTTCAACCATTTCACTCGACACAGGCTGCCCCGGAAGGGAATCCAACTGGATAGCCTCCCGAGCCGACCCGGTATTACCCGGGAAATGCGTGTCCACTAGTAAATTGAGAGTTTCCATAGATGTTTTTGTCCATGTCCCACCCTCATCCTTCAGAAAAGAAGGACTGGTATCTGGCAGAATCCCTGGTACATTCTACAGTTCCGCAAAAATCCCTCCAACCCTGGCTTTTTGCGGAACGGATAGCCCTTTTATACTCTCTCAGGCACTCCCTATAAGGTTGCCAGAACCCATTCTTGTAGCAGATATTGAAGACATCCCTGGTAATCTTCCGGAGATTACTCAAATCTTCGTTCCACCACGGGGGATACTTTTTTTTTGAATATTTCAAAGGACAGGATGCTCTGAAAGCCACGCCCATGACTTTCTCAAATCTACTGATTTGCGCATCAAGTTCTTCGACTTCCTTAATATAGTTGTTAATATCGGGCATGACCATGAGCTTGGCCCGCACGATGGCTCTGAATTTAACCCAATCTGTTCTTTTAGGGTTCCTAAAAGGTTTGGGATTCCCAACTTCGAATCCCACCGTGAAGACTATCCAGGCATGGTCAGAATACGACCTTTTGCTAGATACC